CAGTTAAAATATGTCAAGAATTTAGAACAGTGGTTAGTACAAAGGCAGTGCTATATAAATGTTTTCTATGTATTTTGGTTGTAGTTAAACATTTATATATAGTACTCACATAGTCCTTTTGCTGTAGTTTCTTTATTCATCACTTGGTGGGCTGAACTTCACCCTCTAATAGTTTTCCCAGAAAAGCTCAAGGGAATCTTTGCATGTAAATTACTGTATAATATTTTACAACTTGAAGGATAGTTTGGCTGGATGTGACATCGTTGGGTTGATTTTTTTAAATCAAATTTTTTAGATGTTATTCAGCTGAATGACACTGAATGTTGCAGTGGGGGAAATGTGGGCCAGTCTGATGTTCTTCTTACTATAGGTGATTTTTATTTCTTTTACTTAGGTAGAGTCTTAAAAAGGGATCATTTCTTTATCTTTCAAGTCCAATAATGTCTTAGTATTGACCATCCTGGATCATTTTTTCACATGCATTGCACATTTTTTAATATTTAGACTCAAGCATTTTTTATTTCTTAAAAAAATCTTGAATTGTAATCATGGGGTTTCTTCTTAAATTTTAGTTTTCTTTACTGAGGACTCCAATTATAAATGAGTTGGATCTCTTTGCCTTCTGTATATCAAGATTCTTCTAATCTTTTTTCTCCTCATTTTCCTTTCATTTATGTAGTTCTACCTCACTGCCTCTTTGTAATATATGAATAAAATTAAAATCCATGTTAAGATAGCAAATGTTCTATAATGTTTTAAATTTTAAATTTTGTAGTCATACTTAGGACTGAAATTATTGTATCTGCAAAATAAAATATATGTTGTTCTCCACTCAAATCTTGATGAAATAAACCCTATGCAACCTGAAGAATGTCAGAACACTATATTTGATAAATATAAATAAGAATAAAGAGTGACATTTCATTTCACTTAAATTATGATATATAAATGCAAGAAGGAAAATCTAAGGAAGCCTATTAATTTATCATTTCCAACTAATGTAGTAATTTTCAGTCTATTTATAGAGCTCCAGATATGTGAAATGAAGAGAAACTACCTATAACAGTTTCCTCATTTCATAGGAAAAATTCTGATATTTAAAGAGATCAGGTGACCTTTTCAAGACTTTACCAAAGAAAAATCTAAGCTCTTGTAGTTTTCTAATATTGGACACACACACACACACACACACACACACACACAGAGTCACCCAATATTGTTTCAACATAGCCATATGGCTTTAAAGGTCCACTCCACATACTCATTTTCAATTTCTACTAATAGACTATAAGCCAAATAAAATTGTGATACTGACAGGTTTGATCACTAACATAGGCAATAACTTCACTTAGAAAAAAAGATTCTGCACCAGCATATCTCAGGCACCAACACAAATATTAAACAAACTCTTCAGCAGAAGGTTGAAACCTATTGCCACAAAGCTCTTCCCTTTGTGTAAAAGAAGAAGAACCATCCTTAGCATTATTAATATTATATGCAAAGCAACTTATTCAGTACATGGCACATTGTAGACCCGTAATATACGATCATTATTATAAATTTACAGATTCAGAGACCAAGTCTCAGAGATGATAAATGAAATTTCTTAAGATCAGCTAGTAGGAGGCAGAACTAAGATTCTAATTCAGCTCCATCCATTTTAACGCTCTCTGGAAATTTTCTTTACATTGACCTGAAATCTTTCCCAACACATTTGTCCCAGCTCTAGCTTTCCAAACAATAAAAAATAGATATAATCTCTCTTCAACATAACAGTTTAAAATATTTGAAGGTAGTTACCATATACTGCAAGTCTTTCCTTCCTTAAGTTAAATATTCTTTTTCTGGTAGTTCATCTTTAATATGACATGTGGCTGATTTTAGAATCCACTCATCAATCTGATCATTTTTCTGAACATGTTCCCATTTGTCCATGCCCCCTTCTAAAATGTAACATCTAGAAATTATCAAAACACTCCAGTTTTGTTGTCAGTGCCAAGTAAAAAGTAGACCATTTAGAGGTCTAACTATTAACTGAGAATAATGAGGAATTGCTGTATCTTGGCTGAACTCAAGTACCAGGAAGAGAAAAAAAAAAAAAAACTTAGAAAAAATATCTCCTTTCAGTTGGGTCATAATATTCTGCTTCTGACAGAAAGTGGTCCAAAATAACCACCACTTTTACTAAATTCTGAAGATATAAATATGTTGGTTATTCTGCAAGAAAGCACCAATGCTGAACCCAGGAAGTTCACAGGACAGTCACTGTGAACAGCTGTTTTTCTTGAATTTACAAACAAACCTGTTACTTCTACCAGGGATAAGGGGATTTCTGCTGCATGCCTCCTATATGTTAAGCACAAGTTACTCTATTTAATCCTAACCACACACCTAAGAGTTATAGATTATTGTGTCCATTTTATATATGCTAAACTGAGGGATGGTACAGTATATCAGCATTCACTTATTTATCTTCACAGTGGAGATTGGAGACTTGTGCATACTCATGCAGTAGTAAGGTGCAGAGCCCAAATTCTACCTTAAGTCTGAGGGACCGTCCAAGAGTCCATGTGTTTTCCTTATCAGGTTACCTCATAAGATGTGGTAGGCAGCCTCTAAAATACTCCCCAGTGATTCTCTGCCTCCTGATATTTGTTCCCTTGCGTAATTTCCTCCTTTGGGGTGTAGGCTAAGCCTAGTGATGCCCCTGAAATGAATAGAAATCGGAAAGAGTGATGTAATGTGACTTCCAAAATTAGGTAATAAAGAGACAGTGTCTTCCATCTGGATTACTCCTTCTCTTGCCCTTTTAATCACTCATTCTGAAGAAAGCTGGCTTCCCTCTGGTGAGGGGCCCTGTAAAAAGGCTCACATGGCCAAGAGCTGATGTCTTAACCAGAGCCAGCAAAAACTTGAGACCAGCCAAAAGCCAAATGAGTTGAATGCACATTCTCCTTCAGGGGAGCCTTGAAATGACTATAGTCCCAACCAACACTTTGTAGCCTTTGAGAGAGGCTGAGGCAGAGATACCCAACTAAGCTTTATCTTGATTCCTGACTCATTAGAATTATGAGATAATATATGTGTTATTTTAAAGCTACTAATTTGGGGGGTAATTTGTTACACAGCAATAGGTAACTATACACCATACTAAAGCAAAGTCTGTGGGAAAGAAGCAGAATTGCATGAAATCACCTACACACGTGTCTTTCATCCACCAGGCATCAAATTTGCTCTAAACCTTGTCCCAACTTTGTGCTTATTTCACAGCTGCAATAACCACCTTCCTAATGTTGTTGAGTCTCACTCTATACATACACTGAATTGTCCTGGTTCCAAAACTTGTTTTTCTTAAACATGGTGGAAAGGGTAAACGTCTTATATTTTCCCTTGTTGAGATTGTTAATAAACATGGCTGTTAATGTGTAAATATGTCTCATCTAATGCCTGTTTTATGGGAGACAAACTGAGGCTAGATTGCAAGGCTGTATCATGACTTTCATTCACCAATGTATTGGAATTATGTGTTTTTTTAAGACTGTTGTCATAACTTTTATTCACCAATGTACTTCCAGTTCAGCTCATATGGCAGACATAAATGAGTACTTATAGAGAATACTATCTTACTGGCAACTTAATTGTGTTTAGTATTAAAATTAAAAAATATGAATTGTACCTTTCCTGTTCTCCTTGCCTCTAGGAAACAATGTTGTAAGAAACTGACATATTCAGTTTAGCCAAAAATCCTTGTCATAAGTGTTCCAAAGTGGAGGTCCCGTCCCAACTTTCATGTACTAATACATAGTCCTCATGTAGTTCCTATAACTCTTCTTAAGAAGAATAAACAACAAAGGAGGAAATTAACAATAGACTAAATTTAGAATTTAATTAAAACTTAAGAATATGTTATAATTAACAACAGAGGTAAATATTTTGAGCAAGCAAATGTGTGTGCTAGTTGAAATCTCATTATTTAGAAAACAATTCATTGTCATGTATAGGATGTTAACAGATTATGCATGAATGCTAAAAGATACATAAAAATTGAGAAAATTTTGACTAAGAAGAACTTCTTCAAGGGAATGTAAAGCTAACATAATTCCAGTAGACCAGCAAAATTTAGAAAAGTTATTTTTATTTTTGAAGAATAATGATGAGCATTATAAACAAGCATGTTCTCCATTTAAATAAACAGTTCTAGTCTTTTCTTACTGAGATACATACTGCTATTTGTCCCCCAATATCCATGTTCTCTTTATTCCTTAGAGTCTCATTTTTTTACTGGGCCCATGGTTATTTGAAGAAATGGTTACATTTCTCGGCCTTTCTTGCAACTAAGTGTGATCCTCAGTCCTGGCCAATTGGTTCTAAGAAGAAAGTCTGAACAACTATTAGGTAATGTCCTTATAGAAAAAGGGTGTTCCCACCTTCATCTCTTTCTCCTTTCTTCTGATTGATATAAAGGGTGGAGTTCCAAGAACCATCTTTTTTTTTTTCCTAAATCAAGTCCACTTTATTTGAAACTCTCTATATACCACCCAAGAACCATCTTGGAACATGAATTAAACTTTCCAGTTATTAGGGCTCTGTATTACTGATTTGGTGGAACCCCCAAAATATAAATAATATATCCTTTATTGCCACTATTTCCAACCCCAACTTCCCTCCAGTGAATTAATGCTGAACCATTCCCAGGGAAAGCTACCTCTGATTTTCCACTTCATCTTCTGCAACATACTTCAAAACTGCTGTCCTAGAGGCCTAAAAGATAGTGAGTAACCAAACTACCCATTTAGTGGGTGGGTCTGAATTAAGAAATACTCATTTCAAATCATCTGGGCACATGATTTCTATATTCTAATCAAGGATTTGAACATGATGGCCTGGGAAAAACTCTCTTATGTGTGAAAAGAAAAAAAAAACTTTAAAAATATATAATTGAGGGCTTTTTTGGGTAAAACATCTGAACTAAAGTTTAGTCAGACTCTTCAGCACCAAGATGAAAGTTTTCTTTTTAGTGGTATTTAACTTAGGAAAGATGAGCATGATTTTCCAGGGGATTTTTTAGGCTTTTTAACAGTAATAGTTTATAATACAGTGCAAAAACAGAGATAACTAAATAATAGTTTTAGTCTAATTTTGCTGGAAGTCTCTCCCAGAATTTCTAAGTGTTCTTCAAAAAACCTACATTGTTTTCCTTTCCCAATATCTAAAGATTAAATATATGTTGATGATTCTGTTTATCAAGCTTTAATTGTCTTTAATATCCTTTCTATAAATCTCTTGTTTTATACTTAACTTCTACTTTCATAAAATTGGACCTGGATTTGTTCTTATTCTTTTTCTTTATTTTTTCATATGTCTAGAAATTCTATAACAGCCCCATCTCAGGCAGCAAATCCATCTGTCCTCTGATAGAGATTGTGGCACTGTATATGGGACTACTGAGCCAGTCTCTGTGTCTCCTGATATTATTCATCACAGAGTTATGTGCCAGTTTTTGTCTCCTAGGCCTTTTCAGTTTACATTCCTCATTCAAAGAGATGCCAAAAAACTAGCAAGAAAGCATTTATTAACTTGGACAGTGAGACATTACAGAAATGAAGGCACTAGATGGATGAGTATTTATCTTAACTAGGCCCCAGCAGCAAGGCTTGTTCAGATGCCGGCAATTTCTTGGTTTGGTGTTCACACTACTTTCTTCCTCGTTTAGTGTGCTGAGATCCTCAGAAAACTAAAAGACTATGAATGTATTGTACACATGGAACCATTTCTGGGAACAAGTAAGTACAGACAAAGTCATGCATTTTTAAAATAAAATCATGACACAAATCTACGAAAGGAAGAAAGTGCATTCTTGAATGTTTAGTAAATCAAAACACAAGGTTTACTAAGATGCTTTGGGCTTAATTTCTTACCACAAGTTGAGAACTGTATAAAAAAAATGCTTCAAATGGCTTCTGTAGCAGGAATGGAAGCAGAGGAGCAGTGTTAATGTTTTGTGGTTTTGGTGGGCTTCCATGGCTCAGCTTCTACTGATCCTTGTCTAACTGAGAAGCCAGAAGTCCCTTCTCATTGATCCAGTAAGTTCCAGGCTTCCGACACTGTCAGACACTTCTTCCTGGTTAACATTGAGAACAAAGTCATTATTTTTTAATTAGACAATGAAAATCTGTGTATCTTTAGAGATACTGAGGCTCCTTCAAGTGAGAAACAAAACCTTCTTGGACTTTGAGAAGATCTTTGACATCATCTCTGCTTTTCTAGTCTAAGCACATTGGCTGCCTGGAAAGCAAGGGTTAAGCAGCTCTGACAAGGAAATATAGGGAATCCGGTGAAGAATGCTATTTTTTTCCCCCTCTGACTTCTTGTATATCTCCCAGTACCACTATTGAAGGATGTTTGATTTTTAAAAATGCTTTTGTTGGTAATCTTGGAATTTTTTTTTTTTTTTTTGCAATGCTTATTTTAGATCTCGTTTCCGTAATCAGGTAATTTGCAGACCTTGTATACTTTGGCTTCAGGGAACTTGAGGGAAAATATTTTTAATTGGTACCGGCAGAAATTTCTGGCATAAGATTTCTTTAGTGTCAAAATTGAAGTATTTCCCAGGAACTTGCAACTAGATTGAAAGCTGATGGAAGACAAGGGCTGAGTCTAATATATTCTTATGTTATCTTATGTACCTGGGTATGTTAGTTATTCATGAAATACGAGTCATATATGAGGAAATTTATTGGTATCAGATTACAACCAGACCTTTTTGAAAGGGTAAATTTAAAAATTGCTTATTACTTGAGCATTCTTATTTAGAATTAGTTTATCATTTATTCATTCATTCATGCATACAACAAAAAGGTACTGACTTCCTCTGATGTAAAAACAAAACAAAATAAACAAAAAAAGGGTATTAATTTAGAGGAGGGACGTTTAAAGAAGATAAGACATAGCCTCACCCTATAGAGTTTTTAATTCAGTTAAAAGGTAATTACTTAGGAGAAAAAAAGAGAAATATACAAATACTATATAAGGCTAGGAATCTATCAAAAAAAATCTACTGGAAAAGACAACAGAACAGTTACAAATTTTTGACATTTACATGATATTAAAACTGTAAGTGCATCCCACCTGCATGTTCTAAAATATTGGTATTTGGAATCAAATTTCTAAATGGAGCTGATTAGTTTTGCTTTCAGCCTGATTTAGATGAGATGCTTTAATGTGGAGCAGTAGGGGCTAATTTTGACTTATATACAATTTTACTATAACAAAAACCTACAGAGAGAAAGAGAAAATAAAAACGGGATATGTATAACTACAATAAGAGCTACGGATTCCTCATGGAAGGCAGAGATTTTGTGGCACCAGTTTTCAATAGCTGAGACCCTTTATTATTCCAAAAATGGTGGGCACCACTGCCCATCTCTTCCCCAATTTGTTTGTGGAGGTGACACACACTTATGCACACCATCAGGAAGCTGGAGGTCAGAACCAAGGAAAACCAGCATGTTCCTTTTTTGAGGTTAAGAAACCCCAAGTTTAATGATTTTGGGGTCAATTGACTAATGAATATTTTCTGCCTTAATTGTGGGGGGAAAGGGATTAATTATGAAAAAAATAACAACTGATTCCTCCTATTTTGTCTTTCTTCTTGTGGCCTTTATCGTCATTCACAGCGAAGTTCTTGTAGGCAAGTTAGAAAAGCAGCCTCTTGTGAATGGGGAGGTAAAACATGATATGATATTTATGCATGTAGGTTTGGATAAAATAAAAGATGGAAGTGGAGAAGCATGTCAGTATAGAAGCCCCTCTTCTTGTGCACAAATCAAATTTGGTGCAAGAACATAATCAGCAACAGTGAGGATTCCCAGAAGAAATCACTTTCATTCCCACCATTTCCAATCCCCCTTTTCAGCTCTCTATGAAAATACCCCTAATCTACATTCCAAGATACAAAATATTAGTACATTCATCAAAAATCCCCTCTTGCTTCATGCCATCAGACTGAGGATGGGAAAATGAGCTCAGGGAAATGCTTATGAAATTCTTTGGAATGTAGCTAAATATAGGAAAACATGAATTACACTGCCCCATGTAAGTAGTAATTCACTAGGGAAAAAATGGTGCCTGAAACCACAAAACATTTGATGATTCTTAAATTTGGCAGCAGAATCATGAGATCCTCAGCCCTGATCTTTTTTGGAGAAATCACTATTACTGACATGAGAGTTAAACATCAGTTCCCTCAAGTTATCATGCAAGATTTTTCCTAAACTTAATGTGGCCCAATTAAATATCTCATTTTCAGAACTTTGAATTAATGTCAGTCACATACAGCAAGAAGATAGATAACATACCAGAAGTGATGAGAAGAAAGAAAGTTATTGAAAGATATGTACTCTGCAAAGTGTAAGATCTCTCTTTTCCTTCCTCTTTCCTTTCCACTATCCATTATGATATAAAGGAGCATAATAGTGTGTGTGTGTGTGTGTGTGTAACAGGAAAAATAACAAAGTTCTCCTTTATACTTTCACACTTAGATAAAAGTCTGCCTTCATGTTGGATTTTATGTATATTTTACATACATAGAAACTGCACATTTTGTTTCTTCAGAGAATTAAAACATTCATAAAAGCAGGTGCTATATCAATCCTATTAGCTTATACACACTTCTGCACCCTGCCCTGTGCACAACAGTATGGCCAAATGGTTACTAATTATGTAGTATCTAAAGGATCTAGAAGAAAAGCAGCCCATTTTCAAATCAGGTAGTGAGAAACAGAGTAATATGTGGATGCCAAAGAGGAAAAGAAGACAGGCTGGTAAGCCTGGAGGGGTGTTGTTAGACCACAAAAAGAGAAGAGAGACATGGAAAAACAGCAGGCAGACAATAAAGTAAATTCAAAAAAGATCAGGGAATGTTATTTATAATAAGGGAAGGGATTGTCATGGAGTATTTAGGATTTGGATTGATATAAAAGAGGGTTTGAGCCTTCTAGCTCTAGATTGAATAAAATAAAGGCCTGGAGGTGGAAACAGATTGATGACTGAAGAACCTTCATGCTGGAGAGCAGTGAAAAGGAAGGCTGATTAACCAAGGAGATACCAGATATCAGATGATTGTGGAAGCTAGGCTGAGCAGATTCAACTTGACATGACAAGAAACGAGAAATTATTGACATAGGCTATAGGGAGTTAAAAAAAAAAACTTCAGTTTCTGACATTTACTAGCTATTTGATTTTGGACAATTTATCTAGTCTCTCTGATGCTTAATTTTCTTCTATAGATAAGATAATAATATCTGTACTACATTGTTGTAAGGATTAAATATGTTTACTTGTGGAAAGCACTTGGCTTATTTAATAGTTACACCACGATTGTTAATTCATTCTTCTTTTCCTCCTTCCTTTAACAGAGTGTTTTGAAAAGGAAGATATGAGGACAATTATTTAGTCAATGAAGAATGTTAGAGATTGAATTTAGTAGAAGTAATCAGCAGACAAAAAATGTAGAAAAGGTAAGTATTTTAATATGCCCAGTGATTAATGGACATTATTTTTAATAATTTAGCATTGTCCCTAAGACAGAACTTGGTCGTAACAACACAAAATAATTCCTGTACTTTTCAACATTAACAGATAGTTCATTTATATAAAGGTGGTCTCTAATCAGTATACCTGTCCTTTGAGAAAACATAATGGCAATATTTGGTTTCATGGATATTTTGAGTGCTATAAATTATCCCTCCCAAGAAACATTCCTGTATTCTTTGAGCCTTCCTTAACAAATCTAGTAAAGAGAACTATTCCTGCTTTTAGCACAAGACATTTCACCATTAAAAGGGTGACCTGCTTTTAATAAATACCAAAGTTATTATTGGCTCTAAATTTTCTCTATGAAATTGAATGAATATTTGTGTGTATGCAAGTTCTGAAACTTAATACAGACTGTAAAATGGTTTAAATCTTCTACAGCTCCACAAATGGTGTCAAGAGAACTCAAAATATATTTCAAAACTTTCACATTGTTATAGCATAACTCTCTATTGTTATACTCTTATTTAACTAGAAGTGGAAATGATAGTAGAATTTAATTCATGGGCTATCTATATTAAAGATTTTTTTTTTTTCATTCATGAGAGACAGAGCGAGAGAGAAAGGCAGAGGGAGAAGCAGGCTCCCAAGGAGCAGGGAGCCCGATGCGGGACTCGATCCCAGGACCCTGAGATCATGACCTGAGCCGAAGGCAGACGCTTAACCATCTGAGCCACCCAGGTGCCCGGGCTATCTATATTATAGGTAAGAAAGCTGTTCTCAAAACTCCCACTTTTTGGAAATCTCAGAGTACTGTGGAAAAGAAAATAAGCTTGGCAGTTTTCTTTTACTAAATTGATATATTTTCTGGCACCTACTCAAATGAATTTATACTGAATATTATTGAAAGCAATGCCTTAATTTTCAATTTAACTTTCAGTGGTAGAATTAGCCTCATCTGTCTCTTTTTTTAAAAGAATTGTTTATACATGGAAGGAGAAATATTGAATCTGCCATTGATGTCTTCTTCACACCCCTTTTGGAGAGTCTGATACCAACTTTCCACTAAGTAGATATTGAAATATCCCTGTTCTAGACTCAAAGCCAAGTTCCTTGATTAAGCCTGCACATGTACATGACGCAAGCTGAGGTAACCATATTCTTTCTCTTAGGAATGTAAAAGCAGTACATAGAAACCATATTAACTTAGTGATGGGTGCCAGGCGTGGAAGGTTAGAGAGGCTTGGGGAAGATTTTAGGGCAGCTACACAGGACCATATGAATGCAGTAAAATTAGCTCTGTGAACAGAGAGGCATGAAATAGACGTCCACATAGATGAAGAGTCATGTGGTCCCAGAAAGAAAGAAATCAAGAGATTAGCATCTTCGGTTCTTGAACAACATAACAGTCCATTATTACAGAATCATTTTTGGCTAGCTCAACTTCTCTCCGTTTGGATTTCATGATGTTCCCTTGGTTTTCTACCATAAATCTCATTTACTAAATGTAGCCTGAGAAAGTCTTCTTTTCTTATAGCTACGTGATACCTGAGTAACATAAAGGCATTAAGTGCCTTCCAATATAAG